CGGCACGGCGGCGGGCTTCGCCCGCCGCCGTGCAGCAGGACTTTTGCCAGCACCCTCGTGACGTTGCAGATATGTGGCTTGATTATTACGGCTGATTTAGTGACTTTGGCAAGTTTGCCGGTCGTGTCAAGAAGTCAGGTAGGATTCAGTACTAGGCAGTAGTGAAACGTGAGTGGTAGTCTTTGCCGGTTTCTGAGGGTATCCTGGATTTGGTGTGCAGCGCTGTGGAAATGGCTTGCTGTGGAGGTCCCAGCACTGGATGTTGTATCAAAGGTACGACCTCGTAGCACGTGCTAAACCTAAAAAAAATCAAAAATTGACTTGGGTCTGTGGGAGTGTGTGAGAGAACGCCCACTCGTTCCGTTGTGACAGATTCCAGGGCCTCGTTGAGGGGCCCTACCCCATCACCCATGGCTGCTTCTGGACTTGTTCTAGGTTTGGGTCCCGCGCACGAACAGAATGAGCACGAAAATGTGAAAAAATTGTAAATGCATTTGTTTGGCTCCTGGGTGGCTCGCACACCGTGGCACTATGCCGGAAATTTGAGTTTTTCCGGCCTGGAAAGCCTGTCAGTGAGGCGCAAGAACTTGTAAATCATGTCCTGAGGGCCAGCATAGTGGCGGGCGTGTGTGGTCAAAATTTCACTCAAATCCATTGAGAAACACCAAAGTTACGGTCAATTGAATGCCATATGACATTTTTGGGTGATGTGCCCCCTTAATTAAAGTACACCAAAATACATGAGTATCCCCATACCAAGGTGCCCATGCATGCTAGAGATCGACATGGAAAAGAGAAAACATTACTTCTTCTATTCATCATTTGATTTTTTTGTACTTCGGTAAAAATATTATTTCATTTCAAAATTAATTTGAGTTACCTTTGAAAATGATCATGTTCAACTCACGGTCTTGGTAATCATCATACCGAGTCGTCCAAGTTGCCAGACAATCTGCATGAGGTAAGCGGCGGCGATAAGCCACGCGAAACGTGACACCGGTTTGTATTCGGCAGAGAAACACGCACGCGTGCGCGCGCACATACACGCACATAATAACACACACACACATAACGCGTGCATGGTACTTCTCCGATGCAGTGAAGTGTGATTCGGGAATGCTCGGAATCATGCCAAAACGCTCATGAACAAGTTCATCATTACAGTAACTTTTATACTGCACGGATGCAGTGCGCTGATAATGCTTGCACACTCAAAGCTCTTTAGTACGAACACCAAGGGACTGGTGGTATTTGTTTGCAAAAACGGGAGTTCTTCTTATCCGTATTTTATACCCAGTGAGTACACAGTATTTTCTGCAATAAAGGTATGAATGCTAGTTCTTCTAAAGCGAAAGTTTGTCTTGTCATTCACTGAATGTACATGTGCATGTACATTTAATATTAGTATTATTCTACTTTTATTCCACGATGACGTCACGCCAATAAGGACGATTGATAAGTGTGATAGAAGTGGCACTAGCCAGAAACAGCTAGATGGAAAGTACCAGGGGAGGCAAGAGGCGATGGGTCGTGAAAAACAAGCGCGGGCAATAACGTTAGCAGGGGTGATCGGGATACAGCTGTAGCACACGTTCGAGATATCAGAAACCAGTGGGATGCGCGGAGCAGGAACAGGTACTACTCAATTGAAAAGACATGTACAGTGTGTTGCTAGGATTGGCGTTAAACAGTGAAAACTAGCTATTGGCCTTGTCGCGAGGAGTCTTGGCTCACCACAAAACCTGTTTCTAGTTCTAGTGTTCGTCGTGATGTGCACGTGCACGTGTACGCTAACAAGAAACTCACCGAGCGCAAGCTAAACCCAAAACGTTAGTGCATGCCGTGTGCTGCTAGACTATTGAGGTGACAATCGATCTCAATTCTCAAAGTCACAATATCTTCCTCTATTCCAATAGCCTTACTGTACGTAATACTCGTAGTAATCGTACACTCAATTATTAGCCATTTATATAATAGCAAATCACAAAATGATGACGTCACATGTGATCAGAGAGCAAGAGAAGCATAGCATAGTACGCACAATCACGGGCCAAAGCTGAACAGGTCACCCTAGCCTCCACGATAGCCAGGGTGGCACATGTACAGCCATCCATTGGAGGCTGCCAAGTTCGGCGAGCCCTCAATAACACACTTTCTCCTCGCTATGCTACAGCCCATTCATAAAGCGATGAGCGCTGGCTTTGGCGAGCTCCGGTATTTGGCGAGTTTTTTTGTGTTTTTATCGTACACCATGCAGTGCCGCGAAATTTGGGGTCAGAAAAAGGGTCCATAAAAGGTAGCTCAACTAGGGTTCGAACCGGACAATGCAGTGATGCAAGTGGTTTGAAACGGACTGGATTTTCATAGCCTTTCCCAATTCAGTGCTTACAAGACAAAAGGGGAAAAGACAAAATCTTGTTATGGCTTGTTTTTCGGAGAAATGGACTAGAGATACATACATGTACATGTACATAATACATTGGAAGAGCAGTCCATGGGAGATGACAGAACAAAATTGTGAAAAAAACTAACAATTTGACCATTTACATGTACGTACGCCAAAAGCTAGAATATCATGTTTTTCTAAATATACTATAGTACATGTACATATACATCTCCTCTCTCTCTCCCTTTTCCTATTGACAAGGTTACTAACGGGTTTTCATGCATGTAGGGCATCCTATTTGCGCCGCCGAGCACGCTCATCATTTCTCGATCAATACTGCTTGCATGATTTGTAGGCTGGCTGCATTTATTTATTTTATTTTTATTTCACCGTCCAATGGCAGAAGCCAATGCAAAGGAGGGGGCGTTAGCCATAAAAGTGTGTTGTGTGTCTTTTGCAGGCATGCCTGGTAAATATTATTTCCATTATTTCTGATAAGTTCAACTCGGATAGTGAGCCGATTAAATTATGGTGAAAAGAAGAAGGACAAAATTTTACGAGTTATGACTAACTGTCCACCAACGTAACCAGATCTTATACAGTCAGCACGTGCGACAAAATGGCACAAAACTGACAAGGAGTACTGAGACATTCGGCGACATGACACCTAGCTCCAACACTTCTCCAAGGCGCAAACCAACAACCTTCCAACTTGGAAGGCTCAGGTTCGGAAAGGTCCAAGAGGGGATGGAAAGCAAAACGTTGTCATGACCTATACGGCGAAACGTACGTCGTGTGGAACTACTGTAAATCAACTAATTTTCGCTGGCGATTTAATTTCGCTGATTTCGCTGCTTGGTGCCAACTAGCCAAAGTAAATCGCGGGCCAAAGTTTGTCACGGAGTCAAAGGATGCAAGATTGAACCCCAATCGGCCAAAGTTTGATCACGGCCAAAAGTTTCATTTGGAGATCGGCCAAAGTTTCTCACCGGCCAAAATTTGTTGATTTACAGTACTTGTTATTGTACATAACTAGTCCATCACACATGATAGTGAAGTTCAGTAGGATGTTGACATTTCGGATTGTCACAATTCGTCTTCGCTGAGCTTCCCCTTTCTATGTTTATTACATAAACTTGAGCCTCCCAATTTGGGTGGTCTGTTGCTTTGCGTTGTCGAGTTGTAATAAGGCCGGTATGTCTAATAGTCTTACTAGTTTCGTCATCATCCAGTAACGTTCGGCATTCTTTGTTGCCGTGATGCGTACCTCGTGCTCTTCTTCTTTACGCCTTACTTCGATAGCTGACGCCGGTAGTTGCGACAGACCTCTCGTGAACAACTCGGTCTTCTGACAGTATGCATATACGGATAATGCCGGTAGAAAAATTGGCAAATTCGGTACTTTTTCTGGTAAGTTTCATGCATGTTTGGTATGTGGATAAAGAAATGGAGCAGAATTCAAGTAATTGCCCGCCATAAGGATTGTATGGTTCTGCCAATTTCACTGCTTTTCGAGCAAAATCTGCCACCTTTTCGAGTATTATCCGCCAATGCCTATCTGGCAGTGGCGGGCAGACTTCTGAGGCAGCCTTAGCCTTGTAGCGGCGGCATATAACACATCGCTGAGTAATGTTGCGTAGCCCTCGTCGACCACCGATAATCCAGAGGTTCTGACAGATGTACGACAGGACCCCTTCTACACCTTGGTGCATCCTTTCAACGTGCGTTTTCTCCAACAGCAACTCGGTCAGATGATGTTTGCCTAATTGAACTGGGTGCTTGGCTCCATATCTAAAGTGACATAGTTGGTCTTTGACCGCTTCTTGAAGGCAGCTCTGCGGTTGAAGCCCAGTAAGTGTTTCTTGTTCCGCACAAGTGTTGAGTTCCTGGGCCACATTGTTACCCGGGAGGGGGTTAGGACCGACCTGGGTAAGATCGAGAAAGTCAGAAACTGGCCTACCCCTGAAGCAGTTCGAGAAGTGCGTGGTTTCTTGGGATTCTGTGGGTATTATAGACGTTTTGCCCAAGATTTTGCCACCATTGCCCGCCCCTTGTACTTGTACAGCCTGACGAAAACAGGCCAAGTGTTTTTGTGGACTCCTGACTGTGAAACTGCTTTCCTAAATCTGAAGACAGTGCTGACGACCGCCCCAGTACTAGCTTACCCCAGGTTAGGGCAAGATGCATCACCATTTCTGGTAGACGTAGATGCTAGTGGACTAGGGTTAGGAGCAGTGCTGTCTCGGGTTCAGGAAGGTCTGGAACGGCCGATAGCGTATGCTAGTCGACTTCTGGCCAATACAGAAACACGGTACGCATCCACGAAAAAGGAATTGTAGGGTTTGGTGTGGGCTGTGCGACATTTTCGTTGCTACCTGCTTGGTAAACAATTTGTGATTCGTACTGATCATCGTTCTCTAGAACACTCGGCTAATTTCAAAAATCCACCGGCGATTGTGGCTCGCTGGCTGGAATTTTTGTCTGAATTTGAGTTCACCATATTGTACAGGGCAGGTCGATCACACGCTAACGCTGATGCATTGTCACGCCGCCCTGATGCTTCGACGACGCTGTTCGTAGGGGCCGTGAACAACGACGTTGGCAACATCCCCACACCCCTCATCCGCCGTTTCAACTGGCCGTGGTCAAGAGGGGAAAAGGAACAGGAGAAGGACCGAGATCTCGCCCAAGTAGTGTCCTGGCTAGGTATGGACTCTCCGCCTTGCCCACAGGACATGATGGGTAGCAGTCCTGAGGTACGTATTTTGTGGAAAATCATGAAATGCTGGTTCATCATGAGGGGGTGTTTTGCCGTCGTTGGGAGGACCCTTGCCCCGGTAAGCCGTCTATCTTGCAAGTCGTTGTTCCCCGACATTTACGTTCTTTGGTTTTGCAAGAGTATCATGACCAGGGGGGACATACGGGTTCTACACGCCTGCAGAAGAAACTGACGCAACAATTTCACTGGGTAGGCATGAAGAAAGATGTCTTGGATTGGGTTGCAAGTTGTTCTTCCTGTAGCCAGTTGAAGCGTCCCGTAGACAGAGGGTCTGGCGCTCCACTACAGTCTTCCTGGACGGGGTATCCTTTTGAGCGAGTAGCGATGGATTTGATCCCCAATTTACCGGAGACAGCGGAAGGGAACCGCCATATTTTGGTTGTAGTTGACTATTTCACTAAATGGGTGGAAGCTTTTCCGCTTCCGAGAATGGATGCTTCCACTATTGCTTTGGTGTTTGTCAATGAGTTTGTATCACGTTTTGGTGCTCCTGATCGGTTGCATACCGATCAGGGCAAAAACTTTGATGGCTCTCTGTTTCGCAGTGTTTGCTTTCTGCTTGGCATAGATAAGACCAGGACAACTGCGTACCATCCACAGAGTGACGGTCTGGTTGAAAGATTCAACCAGACGCTTGAGCGTGGCCTGGCGCACTATGTCTGCCAGAATCATCGAGATTGGGACATCAAGTTGCCAGCCTTCTTGATGGGATACCGCTCGACGCCGCAGACTAGTACCGGCTACAGTCCAAGCTATCTGCTCTTTGGTCGGGAGCTATGCCTACCTCAAGACTTGGCATTTGGATTACCGCCAGGAGCAGCATCCGCAGTAGCGTCCCAGCCGGAATTCGTGAGTGCTCTCCGCCGACGCTTGGAGGACGCTCATGCGCAGGTTCGGGAGCACTTGGGCAACGTGCACCGCTATCAAGCGCATATCCATGATCGCAACGCTAAGGCCGTGACGTTTGCAGCTGGTGACGCAGTGTGGCTTCTGGTGCCGGCCATTCCGACGGGTACAACCGCCAAGTTTTCTAGACTGTGGCACGGACCGTACCTAGTCGAGGAGAAGCTCTCCGCCGTCACCTACCGCATCAAGCTGTCTGAGCCCACGGCACGTCGGCTGATAGTGCACGTCAACCGGCTGAAAGGTTGTCATCATCGACCGAGTCGGCTGCAGGAGGTCCACGAGCAAGATGAGTCGGACCCACCGCAGCCCATGGCATCCACCCTGACTCCGTCCTACCAGCCTGATGCCACTGATGCCGCCGCCCGAGACGAGGAGGACACCGCTCGGGTATTCGACAGTGCTCCGCCAGTTGGCGTGATGGAAAGGCGAACCCCGCGTTCCCGCCATCCACCTCAGCTGTTTGGGAGTCCCGTCTGGCACGAGTAAGGATTTCAGTGGTATTGACTGGATTGGTTGTGGCCAATATTACAGCTAGTCTTTGAACAGTTTTTGATCGGAACTCCAATTTTGACCTGCACTCGTTTAGTTAAATTGTTTGCCATAATCTTAGTCTAATTTATTACGTTACTTATAACACGAGGACGTGTTCTTTTCCGTGTAAGTGGGGGGATATGTCGTATCCATACTATTGACACGTGCCTTTTAGGCCTCTACGGGACAAGTATGCCTTATTTAGGTGTCTAATTATTTATCTATCTCCCGTAAACGGGTTCATAATCGTCTTTATTTTATATCTTCACACAAGGCCTGGGGCCTTCCTTATTTGGGTATACGCTGTTATTTCCCCACATGGCTCCCGCTCCTTATGCAACAGTTCGTACACATATTTACTACGGTTTGATACGCTATTGCATGCGGGACCAGCAATCTCGTGGCCATGGACTTCCATGGCCGCAACTAGATACTATTGCCATCACCTTCCTTCTCTCTCTCTCTCTTTCCTTCCGCCTTCAGGCGGAAGCTTCGGCTTTCGTCTCTCTTGCCTTGTGATTGATTGATTGATTTTATTTTACTTCGCAAGTTCAAACGGGTTCCTGGCCCAGTTATATGAAAGCGAAGGGTAGAATTTGCCAAAATCCTAGTGAGCAACAGCATAGGCAATATTATCATAGAAGTGGAGTACTATGCGAGCGAGAATACTGAGAAGAAAGGAACATGTCAAAGCCTGACGAAACACAACCTATTTCAGGCATACATAAGGAAGGCAGGCTAGCTTAAAATCTTGCAATCTGGATACGGTGCGCACCTCTCTAGGCAAACTGTTCCGCAGCAATGCTCCTGCCGTGGCGAATCTCGTTTGGCCACACCGACTGCGAGCTGGCTGGCTGAGCAGACCATTGGCATGCTGATGGCGCGTACTTCTGCCGCTGCATGCTGCTGGTTTGAGAAGCTGGGCTAGAGCAAGGCTAGTGGAGTCATTTAGACAACGCCAGATGAAGATCAGGAGCTTTTGTTTAAAAAGTTCAGTGACGCGGTAAATCGAGTTGGCAGCCAGGAGGGGCTGCATCGCGGAACATGGCGGGCTGCCATCAATGCATCGGATCGCCCGGTTTTGCATGGCTTGCAGACGCTGAAGTTGGGTCACGCGGAGGGCTGCAGAGAAGCTGCAGGCACCATATATCATATCCGGCATGACAATAGCCTTTACATATATCTTGCGCGAGCTGCGGGAGAGGCATCGACGGGCTCGCCACAAGGCGCCTATCTTCCTTGCAACTTTGGTCACTATGGCGCTGACGTGTACATCCCAACTCAGGCGGTTGTCAAGAAAGACACCAAGATACCGCGCAGACTTCACTATCGGTAGAGAGGTATCGCAGCACACGATAGAGACCTCAGGCCCGGCATGTTGCGGTGAGATAGTCATTACCTGGCTTTTGGAGGCATTTAAAATTAGGCCGCGTGACTTAAGCCATATGGCGAGATCAGTGACAGCTGAAGAGACGGATTTGGAGACTTCCCCAGCGGAAGCTTTTGAATCATACAGAGCAATGTCGTCTGCGAATTGCACGCTGGGTATTGGCGATGAGACCGATTTCGCATCACGGGTGTAGACGTTAAAGAGAACAGGCCCCAAGACGGAGCCTTGGGGCACACCACAGGTGCAGTCAAGAGCACGACTTGTGGCCGAAGCGACTGTAACTTGCTGCCTGCGATCTGTCGTGCTCTCAATAATTATCGTCTCTTGAACCAAGTTAGCTCCTTTGAAGACGTGAGTCAACCTGAACGCTGGTGTGAGTGTACGTGTCTGTATATGCCTGAGTGTGTGTGTGAGAGTATGTCTAGGTATATGTGCGTGCGTGCGTAAGAGTAATTCTGTTGGTGGACTCTCTCCAAGTGGCCACCACTGCACGGCCTTGTAATGTGAAGGTTTAGTAAGTAAGTTAGTTCATGTCGAACCGCAGCCTTGGGGTCTAACCCCGGGCCGACCGGATACGACACATACGCCAACTCGCTGTGCTGGAGCCGTCCTCCGGCTCTGAGCACCCCATGCTCATCCAGAAACGGTGCAAGCTGAAACACTTTCGACCCAGGCTTCAATGGTTGACCTTGCTTGATCAGCCCCAAATCCTCAGTGAAATAATTCGGCTCGAACGATACAGTACAGTATGTTGTCTACTGCGAAGTAGAGTTCAGCGCGAGGCTCGGTATGCTTCCACTGCACCATCCGAGTCACCATGCCCAGTGACCTCGACCACTTAATGAATCGGAGCCACCATTCATTATCAGATTCTCGACTACAGGTGGTGGCTGACACTCGCACTTCTACACTGGACTCATCAGTAGTAGCGGTTGAGGATGCGGTGGGCCGGTCACTGGGCTCCGTGGTCCAGGTTGGTCCGCCCATTCAGAACGGACTACGGATCTGCTGTGCACTACGACCATATGACGGAAATCTATTGGGTTGTGGAACACCGGGCAATGGTTCCACACAATTCCGACCTTTTTCGATATCTCTTGGACTTGACAGACACTGTTAGCCACAAATATTCTCCATTTGTACGATGGATTACAGATTCAATGAACTGTGGTGAGACTGTCAGTCCAGCCATAGACTTGCGTAACGGTCACACGCAGCAGCTTCACCACAAACTCAGCGTAGCAAGCCAGTAGACATACTGCTTGTAACTCAAGGCAGGCTAACGTGGGCGGAGACACCGGTGCCACTTTGGCCTTGGCAAATACCAAGTACGACTATCCATTGACGACTGCATACAAAAAATACCCGGACGCTTTCTCACTGGCATCCGCAAAGGCATGAAACGCAATGGGTGTGTCAAGATTGCAGCAAATCCAACGTGGAATGTCAATGCTCAACACTTCGGCCAACTCTCCCCACCATTGAGCACATGCCGCTGCGATGTCATCAGGCAACTTATCATCCCAGTCGCCACCGAATTTCCTGGCCTGCTGTGGCAGTATCTTTCCCGGCACACGTGCAGGTGCTGCTAGACCTAGCGGATCAAACACTGTCGCAACACACTTGAGGAGGGTTCGCCGTGTCCAAACAGGTGACCTATCGGACTCGCCTAGACTCAGGTTAGGCGGCATCGCATGTGTCGAGGCTGGCTTGGAAAAAGTCTTCTTCGGCTCCAAAGCGGACAAGGGTATGTCGAGCATGTCACAAATGCAGGACTACGCCCCGTTGCCACATAGCGACAGTACATGAACAAAACTGCGGCTGCATGGGAAAAACAGAAGCCAACCGTCCCGTGTTCATCACACTCAGAGAGCCATATAGAGGATTGTTGTCGGCTTCAATCGCGCAGTTGCAGGTGCTCAAACACTCCGGGTAGCAGCAAGGAGTCTCTGCTCGATCACTCCACTCTACCGGAGCACGAAAGGATATTGCAAGGTCCGTCCAGCTCAGCCTGGTCCAGCGGTGCGAGCGGTGGAAAAACTCAGATGTACATTGTATTCCAGCGACATTTTGGCGGAATCACAAGTCCAGCTACAGATGCCATCCTTTCATAATAATCTTTATTAAAGGAAAAGGATCTCCCAGAGGCGATGGCCTGTCGAGGGGATCTCCTGGTGCAAATCATGCAATAGAAATAAACAGTGAGGAAAACTACACGTGTTACAGTATATGCTACATAATGAGCAATAAACACAGGGCTGGGTTGTTCAAAATAAAACAATTAATTTAAATGTCCAGGGATATACCACTTCAGTAAAATTATAAACTTTTCACGTGCAAGCGATATTGCTGCTGAAATTTAGAAAGTGAATCTTGGGATGTCAGCCTTGGTGGAAGGCAGTTCCATAGCTTTCCGATTTTATGCAGAAAGAGAGAGAGGAAGAGATGCGACCATGAGATCATGACATGAAAAGAATTACTTGTAACTTTCAGGCTGATCTGTTTCGAGCATAAACAGATTCCAATCTTCACTCCAAACATATGGAGCTCTGTCATGCATCCATCATTCTTTGTGTCCCATCCCTGCATCTCATTTCACTCACCATAGTAGCAGAGGGTTGCTGTGTAGATAACTGGTATTACTTAAGCAATATATAGCTACCACACTACAGCCCGGTACTTTCCCTCCCTGACAATCTACACAATTGTTTTGCTGTTTTCGCGTTGGATCTCAGGACACTGCTTTGGTGGCGGGAAACTGGTCGAACTTTCGATACTGTCAATTCAGATTGTTTTTAAAAGATAAAGAGAAAAGCACCATCACGTGACATCGACCCAGCCGAGCCATTTATCACAGGTGATAACGACAGGGAAATGGCAGAATCCTAAATGCAACATTTCCCAAGCAAACTGTCACGTGATAAAGTAATTACGAGAGCGGTAAGATATCGTGGTGGTCACCCGAAGTGATGAAGGAGGTGAGACTGTGATGATGAAGACGGAAGACATGCAAACACTCTGCAAGGAGCACCTGGTCGACTCAAACAACATACTGTAAACAAATCACTTTAAACTCAACACCTACTGCCTAACATCAGTCGACCTCAAAGAGCTACTCAGACTACTTCTACACAAGAACGTGTTCCAGCACCCAATCCTTGGAACATTCAAGCAAATAAGGGTGTTGGTAACGGGTAGCCGACTCAGCAGCAGATTAGCCCTTGTCATCATGGACCGCTTTGAGCAACATAACATCTACCGAGATATCTGACAGAAGAATGGAACAGCGTTACACTAATACCTCGCAAAGTGTCGTGGGCGGTGGAAAACTGCGCGTACAGATATCACATGTGAGTGGCTTTGCTCCAGTCTCCATACAGAAATGCAGAATAGTATTGACAGCGTCATGGCAGGTGATTCGCCATACCTGCCCATCCTGGACACTGGAACTGAGCTGTTACAGAGGTACACCAACAGACACAAAGTCAGTCTCTACTGCGTCCTTACATCATTTCACTTTATATTGTCTAGGTGCAGGTCTTCTCGAGACTTCTCGAGCGTCGTCGGCCCAGGCGTCCTAATCCCGTTGGCCAAACCAAACAAACCCCGAGGACCACTCACGAGTTTGAGACCGATAGTCCTACTCAATACAATAAGGAAAGTATTCTCACTCGTGAAACTGGCACGGATATCAACAGTAGTGTCAGAATTTCTGGGACCCACCTCGTCGGGATTTCGAGCTGCAAGGGGAACGAGCGATGTCGTGTTGACCCAACGTTGGTTATCGGCCAAGTCACAGAGGTACGTGTGGGAGTGTCATGCCTTGGGGCTAGACATGTCAAAGGCATTTGACACCATCAACAGAGCCAAGCTCCTGGATGTTATGAGCTCGTTCCTTGGCCGCGATGAAGTCCACATGATACAGCATCTTCTGTATGGCACCACCAAATCTGTTCGTATGTGCAGGTCCACTTCCAAGGCATTCCATACCACCAGTGGGACAGTCTAAGTCCCGTGCTGTTCGTCTGTTACCTTGAAACCGCCCTGCAAGAATGTCGCCCAAGGCTCCCACAGCGACCTATAACTGATGGAGGCATCCCTCCAGAAACCGTGTACGCCGATGACATAACGTTCTACTCTACCAGTAAACCTTGGCTCGAGGAATCACTACCCGTCATATCCTCGACACTGCAGCCTTGGAACCTAAAGGTAAATGAGCAAAAAACGGAATGGGTGCACTTTACGTCAGGCGATTCATCCTGGCGGAGCATCAGGCAGCTTGGCTCTCTTATGGGGGGCGCTGAGGATATCGATAGGCGGATTTCGCTGGCATCCCAGGCATACGGTAGCATGTGCAGCCTCTGGCTGCGGCGCAAGCATGTGTCAGAAAGATCCAATCTCAAGCTGTACCGCTCGCTTGTGCTGCCTGTCCTCCTTTACAACTGTGAGACTTGGGGAGTACCCCCGGCAGTCTTTCAGCGACTGGACTGTTTTCACCGCCGACAGCTCAGAAACCTGGTGGGAGTGCGATATCCAGACAGAATTACGAATGATGATCTGTATTCCAGACGTGGCTTGCTGCCACTGTCAGAGCTTGTTGCCAAGCGATCCCGTAGCCTCACTGGCCATGTGCTGAGGATGAGTGGGCAGTCACCCCCTTGCCTTGCGATATCCTGCTATTTTCAAGCGGGGTCACTTGGACGAAGGGGCCGTCCCCCGGCTATTCTCCCTACCACCATCATGAAGGACCTGGCAGGGCACGACATCCCTTTGAAGAATGCCAGCGACCTAGAAGGAGCACGAGCATTTGCTGCAGACAAGTCGAAATGGAGATCAGACATTGTTTATGGTTGAGTTTTTGTTGACTGGAGACAGAAGTGGACTTGGCTGAATTTCAGTGTATTCTCATGCATTGTTCTTTGTACGCGTGCTGTGGTGTTATTATGTCTCCTTTATTCACTTCTTTCGAAGGCGATAAGCCAGACCCACCGGGAAATATTTCCATAGGTGGGACAGCAAAAATAAAGTGAAAAATAAAAAGCTAAAAACCAAAGGGACAAGAAATAGGGGAAGGAAGAGGAAGAAAGGAAAGAAACTCAATCCGAACTCCAACATCAAAACAATAATTTGAACATACAAACGCAGCAGAGGTGCATCTACATGTAAGGATAGTTCTTAGATTATTATTATTATTTCTAATTTTCTTTCACCGCCCACGGCCGCACAAAGTCCTTGGCTACAAAAAAAAATTAAAGTCTCTCCAAATCTCTCAAAACCAAACTTAAAACTCCTTTCCAAATTATCGCCCAAGAGGGCATCTTCAGGGATATGTGACTCTTGTGAACAAAACAACAATATAACTACAGAAAATGGGTAATAACAATAACGTGGCAATATACCAGGAACATCATAACTAGTGCTAAGAATTGAGACTAACATTGAAGATAATGTCACATATTCAGAAACAAAAACAGAACCTACCCACAATATCGCACGCCAGGTAAGAGCCTAAAAACAAATGTCTCAACTTGCAAGATCTCAAGTCAGGTGATGATGGGTCAGCGTGAAGTGCATGTCTCAACTGGTGTGATCGCCAATTAGATGTGAAGGTGACGAGGCCAGAAAGAGAGAGAAAGAGAGAGAGACAGAGGCAGAGAAAGATAGTGTGTGTATGTATGTGTTTGTGTGTGTGAGTGCACGTGTGTGTGTGCGTACGTGTGTGTGTGTGAGCGTGCGTGTGTGTGTGGGGGGGGGTGTGCGTGAGTGCGAGCCTCACGGGTGGTAATTGCATCCATTCGATGAGATGGTCTTTCCCACAGTAACCATGAAGGTCCTGTTGTCTTGATGAATTTATGCCGATAGTCTCCATCCAGTGTCACAGTTGATTGCTGGCTTTCTGCTTCTGATTTCGGTTGCTTCCATGTACTTGCGGGAAGGCAGCGAAGACTCCCTGCCGAGAATCTTGGCGTGGTGGAAAGGCTGAAAGTTAGGCGATGATGTTGCAAATTCTCGGTGGTCAGACTTGTAATGGCCCCCCCCCAGGGAGTCTTCACTGCCCTCACCCTTGCCTCTCGATAATGTTCCTTGAATCTTTCCCTCACTGGACGCTCGGTTTCCCCGACGTAGAGCTCTTCGCACAATGTACATGACATACAATAGACTACATTCTTCGTCAGACATTCACTGCTCTTCACATCCGCGTCGCATGCTCTGCACACCATTGGCCTGCCAGGACCACGCTTCACCTTCGCACGCTGCACATCACGCGGACACATACGCGTACCAAACGACGAACGGACAAGTCTACGCTTCAATGACGGACCAGACGTGAAAACAAGACGAACATCTGGACTATACTGACGAACACGGCGAGAAACCCGAGCGGCCAGTGCATCATTGATGAATGGGAGCTTGAGAATTGATTTATTCGGCTTCTTCCATGGATTCATCTTGCCACGATTCGGTTTCTTTGCTGTTTTAACTGCCCGCTGAATTTCTCGATCTGGATAGTCGTTGGCTTCCAGTAGCGCTGTGATTTTCTGGATTCCAGCTCCTCTTCCCGCCTCCGTTGAACCGTTGGAGATTGCCCGACGACACTGATTAACTGCGACTGCACGCTTTGTTGACAAAGGGACAGACGACAGGAATGACAGGTGAACTCCGCTGTGTGAAGGCTTGACGAACAGCTCCCACTCCAACGTACACTCGGGACTGACACTCAACGTCAAATCCAGGAAGTCGATGCTCCTGGTGTCGTTGTCGGAGTGTGTGATGGTGAATGTTATGAAGGGGTGTTGGTTGTTGAGATGGGCAACAAACCTGCTCAGAGCCGCTCGTCCATGTCGCCACAGCATGATTATATCATCGATGTAGCGCTTGAAAATGCAGGGCTGAAATTCAGCAGAAGACAGGGCTGCATTCTCAAGCGCTGACATGAAAATAATGGCCAATGGCGGCGCCAGATGGTTGCCCATGGTGATTCCCTTCAGCTGTCGGTACTGCTGATTGTCGAACTCGAATATGTTATTCGTCAGGATGAATTGGAGGGTATCTTGGACATCCTTCACACTCAGACCCAACATATCGACATCCTCGCGGTGCTCCTCCAGTAATGTGGTCGCAGCTTCAATGGCGTCAGCGATCGGGATGTTGCTGTAGAGGCCGACCACGTCGAGGGACACCAACAGGTAGTCTTCATTCAGTTTCTTGTGTTTCGTGAGCTCTTGAATGCATGCCAAAGTAGAGGCCAGGTGCGAGGGTACAAAACGCAACAACTGGTTAAGGATTCGTTCCATCAGCACAGATAGGTTGCTTGTGGGTCCATCACAACAGCTTACAACTGGTCGGACTGGCAAATCTTCCTTATGGTCTTTTGGAAGACCATAGAAATGTGGCATTCGACTATAACTCGGGTTCACGGCATCCTCAAGCTTCTTCGGAATCTTGCCATTGATGTGTTCTTTGAGGAATGCTTTCGTTGTGTCGTCCAGTTTCTCAGGTGTCATCTCTAGCTTCTCGTAGCTATTGCAGTCTTCGAGCAGGCTGCTGCACTTGGCGACGTAATTCGCCTTGGACATAAGGACGAAACCCTTGGACTTGTCAGAAGGCTTGATGATAATGTCGTCGTTGTCTTTGAGGTCTTGAAGATGCTGGCTCTGCTCTCTGGTGAGCTTCAGGTTAGTACTTTCCCGACTCCGTCTGTCTTGCTCCTTCTGAAATATGTTTACTACATCTTCCTTCAACTGGATAAAGGGCCACGCGAGAGTGATTGCGGACCGGGTTGGTAAGGATGATAGCGAGCGCCTCGACTTTAAGCTTCGCAAACTGACAAGCGGTGGAGAATCTGTCCGGAAGGGTGCTGCAGCCCGAGACAGCAAGCGGTTTCCTCGGGAAAAGAGAGTTGTCGTGGACCCTTCCCTTGCGGAGAGCGTGTCGGACGTGGCCGTCAGCACCTTGGCTCACGGACCTAATTTCGTTTTCCAGCCCACCATAACAGATTCAACGGTCAGGGATGTTGGTGTGGCCATTGAGCGCATGGCGTTCGGGAGGCGCTGGATGGAAAGCATCCGGACATCCCGTTTGGAGGCACAGAGATCTGAAGAGCTGCTGGCTGACATACGCAGGGATTATCCGACAGACCAACAAGCTGATTTACCGGAGTCTGCTTCGCAGGTGGAAGTCCCAACACCGAATACCTGCCTAGATAACGACCTGAAGCTAAGGAGGCTTTGCCAACCGTCGAAACAGCCGCCATCCTTGAGCCATGAAGAGGAAGCAAACATACGAAGGTTGAAGGAAGATGTAGTAAACATATTTCAGAAGGAGCAAGACAGACGGAGTCGGGAAAGTACTAACCTGAAGCTCACCAGAGAGCAGAGCCAGCATCTTCAAGACCTCAAAGACAACGACGACATTATCATCAAGCCTTCTGACAAGTCCAAGGGTTTCGTCCTTATGTCCAAGGCGAATTACGTCGCCAAGTGCAGCAGCCTGCTCGAAGACTGCAATAGCTACGAGAAGCTAGAGATGACACCTGAGAAACTGGACGACACAACGAAAGCATTCCTCAAAGAACACATCAATGGCAAGATTCCGAAGAAGCTTGAGGATGCCGTGAACCCGAGTTATAGTCGAATGCCACAATTCTATGGTCTTCCAAAAGACCATAAGGAAGGTTTGCCAGTCCGACCAGTTGTAAGCTGTTGTGATGGACCCACAAGCAACCTATCTGTGCTGATGGAACGAATCCTTAACCAGTTGTTGCGTTTTGTACCCTCGCACCTGGCCTCTACTTTGGCATGCATTCAAGAGCTCACGAAACACAAGAAACTGAATAAAGACTACCTGTTGGTGTCCCTCGACGTGGTCGGCCTCTACAGCAACATCCCGATCGCTGACGCCATTGAAGCTGCGACCACATTACTGGAGGAGCACCGCGAGGATGTCGATATGTTGGGTCTGAGTGTGAAGGATGTCCAAGATACCCTCCAATTCATCCTGACGAATAACATATTCGAGTTCGACAATCAGCAGTACCGACAGCTGAAGGGAATCACCATGGGCAACCATCTGGCGCCGCCATTGGCCATTATTTTCATGTCAGCGCTTGAGAATGCAGCCCTGTCTTCTGCTGAATTTCAGCCCTGCATTTTCAAGCGCTACATCGATGATATAATCATGCTGTGGCGACATGGACGAGCGGCTCTGAGCAGGTTTGTTGCCCATCTCAACAACCAACACCCCTTCATAACATTCACCATCACACACTCCGACAACGACACCAGGAGCATCGACTTCCTGGATTTGACGTTGAGTGTCAGTCCCGAGTGTACGTTGGAGTGGGAGCTGTTTGTCAAGCCTTCACACAGCGGAGTTCACCTGTCATTCCTGTCGTCTGTCCCTTTGTCAACAAAGCGTGCAGTCGCAGTTAATCAGTGTCGTCGGGCAATCTCCAACGGTTCAACGGAGGCGGGAAGAGGAGCTGGAATCCAGAAAATCACAGCGCTACTGGAAGCCAACGACTATCCAGATCGAGAAATTCAGCGGGCAGTTAAAACAGCAAAGAAACCGAATCGTGGCAAGATGAATCCATGGAAGAAGCCGAATAAATCAATTCTCAAGCTCCCATTCATCAATGATGCACTGGCCGCTCGGGTTTCTCGCCGTGTTCGTCAGTATAGTCCAGATGTTCGTCTTGTTTTCACGTCTGGTCCGTCATTGAAGCGTAGACTTGTCCGTTCGTCGTTTGGTACGCGTATGTGTCCGCGTGATGTGCAGCGTGCGAAGGTGAAGCGTGGTCCTGGCAGGCCAATGGTGTGCAGAGCATGCGACGCGGATGTGAAGAGCAGTGAATGTCTGACGAAGAATGTAGTCTATTGTATGTCATGTACATTGTGCGAAGAGCTCTACGTCGGGGAAACCGAGCGTCCAGTGAGGGAAAGATTCAAGGAACATTATCGAGAGGCAAGGGTGAGGGCAGTGAAGACTCCCTGGGGGGGCCATTACAAGTCTGACCACCGAGAATTTGCAACATCATCGCCTAACTTTCAGCCTTTCCACCACGCCAAGATTCTCGGCAGGGAGTCTTCACTGCCTTCCCGCAAGTACATGGAAGCAACCGAAATCAGAAGCAGAAAGCCAGCAATCAACTGTGACACTGGATGGAGACTATCGGCATAAATTCATCAAGACAACAGGACCTTCATGGTTACTGTGGGCAAGACCATCTCATCGAATGGATGCAATTACCACCCGTGAGGCTCGCACTCACGCACACCCCCCCCCCCCACACACACACGCACGCTCACACACACACACACGTACGCACACACACACGTGCACTCACACACACAAACACATACATACACACACTATCTTTCTCTGCCTCTGTCTCTCTCTCTTTCTCTCTCTTTCTGGCCTCGTCACCTTCACATCTAATTGGCGATCACACCAGTTGAGACATGCACTTCACGCTGACCCATCATCACCTGACTTGAGATCTTGCAAGTTGAGACATTTGTTTTTAGGCTCTTACCTGGCGTGCGATATTGTGGGTAGGTTCTGTTTTTGTTCCTGAATATGTGACATTATCTTCAATGTTAGTCTCAATTCTTAGCACTAGTTATGATGTTCCTGGTATATTGCCACGTTATTGTTATTACCCATTTTCTGTAGTTATATTGTTGTTTTGTTCACAAGAGTCACATATCCCTGAAGATGCCCTCTTGGGCGAAAATTTGGAAAGGAGTTTTAAGTTTGGTTTTGAGAGATTTGGAGAGACTTTAATTTTTTTTTTGTAGCCAAGGACTTTGTGCGGCCGTGGGCGGTGAAAGAAAATTAGAAATCATGACAAGGCTACAGAGGAGTTACGCCATCCTTATTATTATTATTATTATTATTATTATTAGGTGCAGGTCTTGCATACCCATAGAGACATGCCCCCAACTGCCCCAAATACACTCAGACATGAACCCAACCCCTCCCCCTGCCAAACCCGACACATACACTCAAACATGAGCGCCACCCCCCCCCCCCCGCCCCTCCCAAACCCCACACATACACACAGACATGAGCCCAACCGCATGCACACCCGGACATAAACACAGAGTGTGGTTGCTTGCACAGACACGCACACACACACACACACACACACACACACACACACACACACACACACACACACACACACACACACACACACACTACTACTACTACTGTAGCTTGGTTGCCACAAGGGCCACACCACTCCGAAAGGAGCCAGAGTCATTGTCAGGAGCAGAAACGGAGATGACGACTCAGGTCAATCTGTCGACGGAACTGACGGTTGCAGCGAGAACAGCGAACACCATACGACGCTCTATCAGACCTGGTTGCACGATGGCCACGGTCGCACTTGTGACGTCTGAAACCAGGCACTGACTTGAACTGCCGATTGCATGTCACACACAAGAGAGAAGCTGGGACGTTGAGCGGAATAGGTGATGCCGGCGCGGACGCTTCTGATGGTTCCAGGGGCAAACAATGATGCACACGCAAGCCACCACGAGAGTGAAACCACCTCCTGCATGTACCACACTGCACAGCACCACGCTGTTCCTGGATGGGGAGACTTCGTTCTGCGCTACACTTGTGTCGTGCTTTGTCACCTGGCCGACGAAACGAACGGTGGCAGATAAGACAGTCCACCCGTTGAGATTGGTCATGGGAAGGACCGCCGAGGCTCGGCCCAACGGCAGACACCCGCCAGGCAGATCGATCCTGAGCAATCCCATACCAAGCTAGATGTTCAATGCCGATGTGCCGAAGATAAGCCGAAATCACATCCCTCCAGCGACGACGGGGACCACGCGCAGGCCGAGGCGACGGTAGGAAGCCAAACAACAGCTGCTTGGGCACACGAACATCTTACATGCGGGCCACATGGCCAAGCCATTCAAGCCTCCGCTTCCGAAGCCGGGAGGACAATAGCGATGGATCACCCCACATCTCTCGGAGCTGCTCATTGGTGATGCGTTCCTCCCACTGTTGTGTTCGCGAAACACACAAGATGCTACGGATGCATTGGCGGTGGAAACTATCGAGGCGCCGGAGGTCACCCTGCAAAGGGCACCAGCACTCTGAAGCATACAGTAGCACTGTCATCACACAGGCGTTATACAATCGGCGCTTCACATGGAGTGAAAGATCACGATTAGCAAACACATCCTGGAGCGATGCAAAGGCACGCGAGGCGAGTGACAAACGCCTCGAAACGTCTCCTGCAGAACGCGCATCCGGAGTGATGACAGAACCCAGATAAATGAAGGAGGAAACATTTTCCACCACCTGTCCATGAAGCGGAATGCCAGCAGTGTCAACTGAAGTAACACCAACACCAGCCACCATAAACTTGGTCTTGGGTATACTCACAGTGAGGCCAAATTCAGCAGAAACATCCTGGAACGCCGTCAAGGCCAACACAGCATGCTCCCGCGAACCAACTACAAAGTTTGCATCGTCCGCATACTCAACATCAACAACAGCGGTCTGCTGATAGGTACGGGTTCGTCGTGCCGGGTTGAATAACTGGCCATCCAAG